AGTTCATTTGCTCACACCATATGTACTCACATTTGAGTAACCAGGTTATATGTTCCTTGCAAAAATTAGGCTAACCTTTCCTACAATTCATTAGCCCCATTCCATGCAGTGTCATCTAACATTACTGTGTGGTAGACAGTCCTGGAAGGTCCCACAGAAAGTCTCTGATAAGTAGTCGTGCATTACTAACATTAGTTACTGTACAGCTAACATTAGCTATATTAGCTATAGCCTGCCTGTAGCTTACATTAGCAATTGCTGCAGCAGACCTCTGTCAAAGCAGCATAATGTTAGCTAAAAGTGAGCTTTAACGTAGCTGAGTTATGTAAGATGAATTCGGGGAAGCCCCTGCAATAACTATGTGGCCATGCTTGGCAGACAGAAGCCACGATGTGGACATCGGCTCAGGGGAAAGGGCTGTCCTCTCCTCATGGGTCAATATAAATCATACTCTAAGCCCTGCTCCTCAAAGCCCTCTCCTCCATTCCAAAACTGTGACAGAGAAGAGAAACTGAAAGAAAAAACTTTGGCATTGAAAAACACTGCCATCGACAAAAAAAAATCTGAAGGTTGTCACTGAAAACAAAAAACTCTGGCACTGAAAAAGGCTACATATGTTTTAAAAAAAAAAGTAATACTTTTTTTTTAATGCCAATGGTTTGTTATGTTTTGTTTTTCAATATAAATGCTTCAGTGCCAGTATTTGCTTTTTCAGTTATGGTTTTGTTTTTTGTTTGTTTGCTATTTTTTCAGTTGTGGCTTTGTTTTCAATGCCAAGCTTTATTTTTCAGTGCCAAAGACCAAAGTTATCAATCTGGCGCCATACTAATAGTACCTCTTTGCCCATCTGGCAGTACTTTAGCGTAAAAAAACAAAACAGAACAAAATGCTAATGAAAGTTCTTATGTAACATATTTTATAAGATGACAGGATCTGCATGTACACCATGCATGTGCTACATTGCCATCACTGTTGTGAGATCAACTGATAGTTTTACCAGTGAAGATGTCTCACTCTATTGGAGTTTTTTGAACAACAGAGAAGCACTCAGTTTACTCTGATTATTCAGTGGTGTTACAGAGTGGGGTTTACCTCATAAACAGTCTTTGTCTAACAGCCATGTTGTCCGTTTTTCCACTGGCTGCAGCAAGGTCTAAAACCTCACAGCACTGAGTGTCATTTTGTCCTGTCCTCAATTTAAATCAAATCAAATTTATTTATATAGCACTTTAAAAACATCCAGTTGACCAAAGTACTTTACATGAGCAGAATGAGATCACAATAAATAACTAAAATAAAATAAATTGAATCAATGCAAGAATAAAACAGCACAATAACAGACACACAGATGGCATACAGACAAATGAAAAGAAAAGCATCAGGCTCTACTAAGTATTAAAAGCCAAGGCAAATAAATATGTTTTAAGCAATGATTTAAAAGCAGTCAGATCGGCAGCCGATCTAACATTGAGAGGTAAAGTATTCCACAATTTAGCACTTCCTGCCAGCCCCGAGCCTGCCTGACGTCTTGCCACCCAGCATAATCTGTTACTTATTTAATAAACTTCCTTCTTTAGTTACTACTTCTCTGGTTTATGTGTCTGCATCTGTGGTCCACACCACTGACGTAACAAACCTGTACTTAGACATAAATTAATTAGAGCCAGAAAGCTAGGCCTAACAGACTTAGCAACATCCAGCGGGGCTGCAACAGTAAAAGCATGGTCAACCCAGCATTTATATCTGGCCCTAGGAACCTCTAAGAGAAATTGCCTTGAAGATCTGAGGGATCTTGTAGATTTGTGCCATGGCACTAATTCAGTGAGGTAGGATGGTGCCAAACAATTAAGCGCCTTAAAAAATGAAAATCAACAGCTTAAAATCAATTCTATGACAGAATGGAAGCCAGTGGAGAGAGGCCAGTACCAGAGTTATATGCTGAAAATTTCTAGTACTTGTCAGAAGACAAGCAGCAGCCTTTTGAACCATCTGAAGACGACAGAGGGAGGACTGGTTAACACCAAAGTATAGAGCATTGCTATAGTCAAGACAGGAAGTGACAAAAGCATGGATTGCAATCTCAAAATCGTAAAAAAGGGGGGAATGACTTGACTTTACTTAACAGTCTCAGGTGGAAGAAGCCAGATTTCACAACAGAGTTGATTTGCTTGTCAAATCTTAAGTCACCATCAAACATCACCCCTAGGTTTTTACAGTCAACTTTAGATTATAAAGGGTCAAAAGATGACCCTGGTCAAAAGAAGTTATGGTTGCCAAGTCTCTTAATAGCACACACTCAGTTTTACTTTCATTGAGATTTAAAAAATTAAGTGATTCCAAGTCTGCCAGACAGTCAAACAATAATGTAATGACATCCCTCTTGTTGCCTTTAACGGTGAGCATATCTGAATGTCATCAGCATAACGATGAAAAGAAAAGCCATATTTCCTTAAGACAGATCCCAGTGGAAGCATGCACAATGAGAACAGAATGGGACCATGCAGAGATCCTTGGGGAACACCACAGGAAAGGATTGTTGAAAAGGAGGAACAGGTACCAATATAACAAAAAAACTGTATCGAAGGCAGCAGTGAGATCTAAAAGCACCAATTAAACTGAATCCCTGGCGTCCCTAGCCAACAGGATATCATTACTGATTTTTAATAATGCAGACTCAGTACGATGTTTTCATTTAAAACCAGATTGAAATTGCTCTTAAATGCCATTATCTGTCTGAAAAGACTGGAGTTGGATAAAAACAATCTTCTCCAGAACTTTAGACATAAAAGGTAATTTAGACACTGGTCAAAAATTAGAAAACGCTGAAGGGTCAACATTTAAGAAAAGGTTTGACAATCGCTTGTTTAAAAGCCTCTGGCACTGAACCTTGTCATGGTTTGGACAGCACTGCCTGTCTTGGTGCATTTTTTTTCTTAGTGTATTTCCAGTTTCTGTCAGTCCACCTGCCCCAGCTTTACCACCAATTAATCAGCCATCATTCCACTCACCTGACGCTTATTATCTCTTGGTCCTCCCATGTATATATACACCCTGCTTTCCGCTCACTCTCCACTGGTTCATTATGTATATGTCCCAAGGATACTGTATGCTCTGATGCCCCTTGTCATGTTTCCCCATTCCCTCTCTGTGAGTTTTTCTCCTCGATGTTTCTCGCCTTCTATTCCCCATGCTCTGAGTTTCTTGTACTCCTGATGTTTCTCGTTTTTACGCTCTTAGTCTTTGTCATGGCCTGGTGTCCTTTCTGTCTCGTTTCTGTTTACTAGACTGCAAACATCACTGTGCTTACCAGACTGCTAGCACTACTGTGCTACTTACCTGACCTCCTGCCGGCTCTCCTGCCCATCCTCTGGTTCCTTGTCCTGGTTCTCCTGGTCCCTCGCCCCAGCCCCCTGGTTCCTTGCCCTACCTGTCCCTTGCTGCACTTCCTGCCAGCCCCGAGCCTGCCTGACTTCTTGCCATTTTATCAATAAAATATTGAAGTAACCCTCGCATATTACTACGGATGCTTCAGGATGAGAAGCAAGGTTGCATGGGTTGATAACAGAATTAATTGTACAAAACAAGACCTGAAGTTTGTGATGCTTACTGACCACAATGTTAAAAAGATAGTCCGATTTGGCAGATTTAACCGCTTTCTAATAGTCAGAGCAGGGGTGCCCACACTTTTTTGCCTTGTGAGCTACTTTTCAAATGACCAAGTCAAAATGATCGACCTACACTAAAAATACTGCGCGCGCACACACACACAAAATAAATGTATGAATGAGTGTCGTAGTTTTTATGAACAGTCTGAAAGTGCCGCTCCACATTTCCCTTCTTCGGAATAGTGATGGTAGATTGGTAGATCAAGCAAACGCATTTCGGATATAACGTCATGAAAAAAAAGTCCTCCTCCCATTCCACATGGAATGTTTTCGGTACGTTTTCGGTTTCTTACTTGATTCGGCTCCCCCACTCATTTTATACCCTTTAGTAGAAGTTAATTCAAAGGCTGACAAGTTAGTTCGCTCACTGGAGTTTTGCAGTAGCTCATGCTGTTGACTGTGCATGTTTGGTGACTCATGTGTCAGAAAAGACGAGATCTCAGACTGGCTGCCCTGCATGTCAATCAAGTAGCAAATGCCATAGGGAGGATGGGTGATAGGCTATATATGAATGATTGGCACTTTCTGCTTTTCCCGTTAGGGAATCTTCACACTGACCATTCCCATGTTAACATTTGGCACGTGTTTTACTCCGGATACATCTAATTTATTTTTGAATGGCACGCGATCTACCAACACTAGCTTTGAGATTGACCGGTCGATTGCGAACGACATATTGGGCACCCCTGAGTCAGAGGCAAATATAATATATTTGAATATTCATAGATCCTGGAATGCACAATAAAGTGTAAACGTTGAGGCCTATTACAGAGGTTCACTGAACTTTTTTGAGGAAAAACTGTTAAGACTATATATTGTTTAGAGCCAAGTATTTTTACATGCAAATATAATTATTAAAATGTCTCTGGAGTGGCACTTTAACATTAAAAGCAACAATTCGCTGTAGACTCAGACCTACTCTGTATGGACTTACGGTGGCCACTGTCTGACTGGCCAAACCATAAGGACATAAGGAAGTTTATTGTCATTGTAGTCTTGAAAACAGAATTCAGTTTGGCACTCTCATAAAAGCAGCTGGATCAACATTTAAATGCAAATCAACATTAACGAACTGAATAAAACAACAGTAAACATTAAATAAAAACAAGGACAGCTAAAATGCAGTAATAAAAAGCAGCAAAAGCACAGTGTGGGCAGTCCACTTAAATCAGTGTACATTTAATGTTACTGAGTGGTATCTGAGTATCTGTTACTGGTTCTCCTCCACACGTTTATAAGTAAATTCCATCATGCTATATTTCAATGGCAGTATGAGTAATACTGGACTAGTCCAAGCATGTTAATCTCTATGCAGAGCTGGTGATGAAACTGTACCTTCTTCATTCATTCTCCAGCTGCCATACTCTGGGTCTGACGTGTAGCCACAGGTGCCCAGCTCAAAGTTGCAGGACCCCGGCAGCAGCTGCTGCTGCTGCGCCATGAGGAACCCGCACAGTAGCAGCACTGCGAAAAAAGAAGAGTCAGGCATTTATGCTTCAGAGTCAATCTGTGCTCATCTGACCTGTGCTCTCATAAGCATTTGCTCAAAAACTAAGAAGCCAAAGCCAAAGCACTTCCTGGTTCAACATTCGAAGTTTTACCCTCAAAGAGAAATTACTTCATTTACCCTGGAGGGTGAGACAGACGCTGCTCATCGTATCTGCCACTGCAAAAACTTTGGAAGATCCCTCTGGCGTTCACTGACCGTCTCCCATAAAATTGCCCTAAGAAATACAGCGCCAGCAGCTCGTCGAAACCCTTACTTGCTGTCTTTCACATGTTATAACATTGTTAGCAGGAAAGATGCGAGGAGGGAGAGAGAAGCAGCGGTCCAGGTCGCAAGTCCGCCTCCCTCTGCTGCCCTGCTCTGTCATGCTAATGAGCCAGGGCCGGATCCAGACGGATTCTGGGTATTTGTGAGGTCACTCCCTCGTCCCCACATTCACCTTGTGCCCATGAACATAGACTATGTACAGTACAGCTCTAATAAGAGCCAGTAATGAAACTTCTGATTCAGTCTAGATCTCCACTTTATCAGCTAGCATTCCTAAAGACACCATGACTCTGTTAACTATGGTAGACAGTGAGACCTTAGCAAGCCAAATTTATGAGAGAAATATGGGTTCAAATTATATAATAAGTCGATAAGTTTATTAAAGTGTATTGTAACCCTAACCCAAGCAAAAACTCTTCCTGAGTCATTTTTTTCAGAGGGGCAATAATATTGAGTGTCATACATAGGGAGGCTGCAGCACTGTCAACAAAAATAAGGTGCCCATGGCATGTTCATTTCCAGCAATTTAATGTTTAATTGTGGGTACCTCTAGATTAACTTTGCACCCCTAATAACTCCAAATAGTCTGTAATTATTTCAGAATGATAAAATCAGAGTGTTATGGTGTAGAGACACCAGTTCTGGTCAAAAGGAATCTAAGGCAAGCTCAGACTGAAGATGCAAATAACTTTATTGCAATAGATTGAGATAGGAGTTATGCAGGATGGCTGCAGGAGGGAATTTCCCCCCCAGGTGGTGGTGAGATTCCCTGGGGAAATTGAGTTCAGTGTAGCCAGCTGTAGCAAACTAGTAGGCACTGGTGTAGTTTTCACATGTTTGCAGGGTCAAAGGTCTCTAACTGGTAAAATACACTGGAAGCAAGATGTAAGTGCTACTGAAGCGTGTTTCCATTCAAGGTTAGATGTGAGCAGCACCTACAGATGTAACTACATATTTTATTGTGGCTACTAAAATTGTTCCATGTTGTTGTCAAGAAAATGTACATTTGGGGGTGGCTGTGGCTCAGGAGGTAGAGCGGGTCGTTTCCTAACCGGAGGATTAGCGGTTCGATTCCCGGCTTGTCCGGTCAACATGTCGAGGTGTCCTTGAGCAAGACACTGAACCCCCAGTTGCTCCCGGTGATGTCACCGGTGTGTGAATGTGTGAGTGCGAATGGGTGAATGGCCGAATAATGTGAAAGCACTTTGAGTGTGCAGTAAAAAGCTTAGAAAGGCGCTATACAAGTATAAGACCATTTAAGACCATTCTGGTGTGAGTGTCGGAGAGTTCAGGGAAGCTATGTAGCAGTCTCCGGTGCTGGCGGATGATACAAAGGAAACCTTCAATAAAGGAGTCTCAATAGGTCTTGGCCAGCTGGATGTAGCAAGTGCAGCTTAGCAAACTAATAAAATGTTGTGAACTGTGTAATGGACCAGAAAGCCACTGAGGGAAAGGAGGTGGGATATTTGGCTGAAAATTGGATGTTTAGCAACAGATCAGGACAATGAACACTGATTGGGAACCATGGTAAAGCTGGGGCAGGAGGGGTGGAACAGAACAGGAAAAAAAAAAAAAAAATAAAAGCACAAAAAAAGGAAGCGAGTCCAAATCCAAACACAGAGGGCCTCTTGCTAAAAACAAAAGGATAGTTCATGAACACACACACCTCCTGCTGCCAGTGGCGCAAGTGGACAGCAGGATGCATTGCATTAATTAATTTGAATTTCTCCTGCATAAATAGGTAAACAAGGATATATATATATCGATGAAAAGAAATGTCTAAACAAAGTAGGTAATTGAGAAACCCCATATTTTAATTGGCATAATGCAGACACAGTAACTTCTCCAGCTTTACAACAATTCTCTCTAATGTTACAGAAACAAGGCATTAACAGACATGCAACGTGTGTTTTTTCAAACTTACCATTAAGTCCCACCGAGTAGTGGAAACATCACTTCCTTTCAGTAAATCCAACCGCTGTTTGTTGCGTCTTTCCCCACAAATCCCTCGCATTACAGGCAACCACATACATTCCAGAAGTAGTGAAATTAATTCCAACAGGTAGCAAAGCATTGATAATATCATGGATCAAGAATCCTCTTGTTAACCCACATCACATGCCACAAACACACTGGCCTCAACCAGTTAAAACAAACAGGTACTGTGCTCTTGGGGATACCAGCGTTGATGAGCTGATCATTCACCACCTCAGGGGGCTTCACTGGCTGGCTGCTTGTAGGTTAGACCCAGTCAGGTAAAACAGCAAGTCCATGTACAGGAACATTCCCAGACATGTAGTAACCTCAGACCCTGTTTTTTTTCTCCATATCCTCTGGTCACAGTGCAGCAGCAGGAGGTAAATTATATCAGGGGAGGTGACAGTGGTGCGGTGGGTAGAGCAGTCGTCTCCCAACCAGAAGGTTGAAGGTTTGAATCTTGGCGCCGGCAGTTCATGTGTTGAAGTGTCCTTGGGCAAGACAGTGAACCTCCCCCATTGCCCCCGATGATTAGAGCCATCAGTTGAGTTGGCGCCGCAGATGGCTGCCATTGGTTCTGTACCAGAAACAAATTCCTTGTGTGTAACATACTTGGCCAATAAAGGTGATTATCCCTTATCAACAAAGCCAGACACAATTGAAAAATTCCACTTTTACAATGGTACCAGTGGATGTCAGGAAAGCTCACTTGAACATGCAGCTGCCTGCAGATTATGACCATTCAAAGAAATCCTTAAACTATCACGTAAGACTTAATTTTGTTAGAAAAAAGTCCTGCAAGCAAGAGCTTGCATTACTTGTATAAAATAAATTGCTTCTGCATAGAAATACTAGAACATATGTGCACCTCATTTTTTTAGCTTTAGGTCACATGTGTCAAACTCAAGGCCTGCGGGCCACATCCAGCCTGGTGTACAATTACATCTGGCCCACGAGATCATTTTATATATCTTTTTTTAATGGCCTGGCGATATAAGGCGCCGATAACACACAAACTACAAATCCCATAATGCAGCGCAACAGTTGCCTTACCGAACGATAGGCTACCTGCGATCATTCCCGTGTCAATTACGTCAGATCTATCAAGCGTCTGTTGATGTATAACCCTAATTTCAGGTCAAAGCTAACCCCTAACAATGGCCAAGAGAAAAGTTGATTCTGAAAACAGAGCCTTTCTAAACCGGTATCACAGCAGACGTTTTCACCAAAGTGAAATGACACAGTGAAGCTGCTGTGAAAGCAAGTTTTATTGCGGCAGAGGAGAAAATCAGCCCGGACATTTACCGAGGGAGGGTTTCTGAAGAGCTGCATGATGAAAGTGTGCGACATCTTGTCCAGACAAAAAACAGGTGTTTGCAAATGTAAGCCTTGGCAGAAATACGGTTGCTGATTTTAAGTTCAAGTTTATTTATTTTGGAATAATGTTGTACCCTGTCTGTTTCGATTCATATTTATGTTCAAAAATGTTTAGTTTTAGTCTGTTCAATAAATGTTTATCCTGTTCGGCCCGCGACCTAAAGTGTGCTTTGAGTTTTTGCCCCCTGTGCGATTGAGTTTGACACCCCTGCTTTAGGTCATGTCTAAGATGATAATTCACTGTTATAACATTGTAGATAAGTCAAAAAACAAGGAAAAGCATGTCATTGGCTCTTTAACAACTTGTATGGGAGTAAAGTTAAGGTGGCTGCCCTCCATTGTGTTGGCACATGGCACTGAAGGAAATGATGATGGAATTTATTCCCTAAATTTGAAAGCAACATACATCTGTTGTAATGGATTTTTCACACCTGCTGTGTACTCCATTATCATGAATTTTAATGTTATTAAAATGGTCAGAAGATGGTTTTAGGAAAATAGCCTACTATTGAATGTTCAGTTTCAATGCCCTATGGCAGAGCAATATTGACGATGCAATTAAAACAGTTTTCAAAAACTGACACATTGTTCTTGCTGGATAGTAGATGATAAGTAAATTACCCTGATGAAAAAGTCACAGTATGTGTTTACGTTCCAAAATGCAGAGCACAGAACAGGAAGCTTGAAGTCATTTAAGATGTGTAACAAAAAGATATTAACAAATTCACAGCAGTTGTAGCAGTCACAACTGAGGCAATGATCTACTAACCTGGAAAGATAGTTTAATAACATATACATACTTAGGCCTGAAAACCTTAGAAATCTATTGTCTAACTCAGTGGCGGGCCGTCAGGGCCAGCAAGGCCTTCTCTGCTGGCCTAAACACTATTAGAAGCACTGACCTACATTTACAACCAAAATTCTAATATTTGTTCCATGAAATTGTATTAATTTATTCCCAACAGTCTGTTCTCTTCATTTCGTAGTATTTGTCTTGGCTGCACCGCTTCCAGTAAGTGTATGTGGATGTTAGATTTTTTTGTCCAATCAGATTTCAGCCTCTATGTGTTGCCATGTCAATCTAATCTGCCCAGGGCCTTGAGAATCAGAAGTGCTGGCCCATGTAACTTAAACTATATTAGCAATGGGACTGTTTCTTTAACCAATCAGATTTCAAATTCGCCCCACAGGGCCAGCTAGCTGGCCCACAATGATGTCAGCATTTTTCCGTCCTCTGATTGGTTGGTCAGAGCAAAACTAGAAAAGGGCTTACGATGGAACTGAAACGCAGAGATCACAGTTGCGGTTGTAGTGTAGAGGTTTTGGAGTTGTCTTAACTGGGTTTCTTGCTTTAGTAAAAAGGGTATTAACCCTCAATACGCGAAATACCTCTCTCTCTGTAATGCCACACTTTATTATATTGCGTTTTTGTATAGCATTGATGGTTTCTATAATTGCAACGTACAGTGGTGGTATTAAGAGGTGAATTAAGTCGGGTAAGTCTCCACTGAAGGCCCAGGTACCAAATGCACTGCCCGCCACTGGTCTAACCATATAGTTACTTTAGATGACATAGCTGTTTGGGCAGAGATCTCAAAACAAGAGTTGTAGATGGATGGTCCACAGGCAGTACAATCTCCCTGTTCCCTGACCAGAATCCAACTGGTTCCTGATCCCCAGTGTGAAGGTGCTAACATCCCTTCTATAGTAGCTGTTCCCTGCTGTGACAATGGGAATGTCTCTGCTGAAGTTC